TCAGTATTCTTTTTTACCCTCATGTTTCTTTTTTTTTTATCCTTCTCGTTTTCCTGCCTCGACAGCCTTCTCTTTAACCCCCTTCTCGTTCTTTTTAAAAAAAATCCTATACTACTCCCCTTTCTTCTTCTTTTCCTCCACTTCTTACTCCTTACTCATCGACTTCTTCTTCTTCTTCTTCTGTCTGTCTGTCTGTCTGTCTGTCTGTCTGTCTGTCTGTCTGTCTGTCTGTCTGTCTGTCTGTCTGTCTGTCTGTCTGTCTGTCTGTCTGTCTGTCTGTCTGTATGTATGTATGTATGTATGTATGTATGTATGTATGTATGTATGTATGTATGTATGTATGTATGTATGTATGTATGTATGTATGTATGTATGTATGTATGTATGTATGTATGTATGTATGTATGTATGTATGTATGTATGTATGTATGTATGTATGTATATGTATGTATGTATGTATGTATGTATGTATGTATGTATGTATGTATGTATGTATGTATGTATGTATGTATGTATGTATGTATGTATGTATGTATGTATGTATGTATGTATGTATGTATGTATGTATGGATGGATGCATGTATGTATGTATGTATGTATGAATGTATGTATGTGTGTGTATGTATGTATGTACTCTTAATATGCAGGTATATTTATAAATAAATATTCGTAGTGTAGGTAAGTAGACAGGCTATAATATCTGTTCGACACATATAAGGATGTGTTTTTGGTTGAAAATTAGCAGTAAATGGATTCTAACAAATGGGACGGCCACTGATCGATTAATAAAAAATAAAAAAACAAGAATTAAATTAACACCGTAAGCCTTATGCGCCACTGACAGGAAAAGTATCCTTTCCATGACCATATACCGAATACACATCAAGGCTTTACTTGACACGCTTCCTTTACTACACTGTCAAGGGCAATCAATCCTTGCAGGTTGTTGGGATAGCTAAACACAGCCACATATACACACACACACTTCCACACACTCACACACACACGCACACACACACACACACACACACACATAACGCCCAGGCACAAACACCCACACACATAAACAGGAAGTCGATTCTAATTTTGTAGCATATGCCCAGGTCCATCTGTTTATAAATAGAGAGGCCCGTGCATTGGCCAATCCCTTAATTCTTGGTATCACCAAGTCAGAAGTTCCTGCCCAAGTCAGGGTTGCCATATTGGCATTTTTTATGCCAGATTCCACAAATCTGGCATATTTGAAATTGAACTGGCATAAGATAATGAACTGGCATATTCTGGCATATTTGGGTTTTTCCTGGCATTTCTTATCAAGATGTGCTCACATTTTCTTCATGGTTCCTCTTTTAGAAACACGCAAATTTACTAAAAGCAATGTAGACCTACAGTTAAAATCTTTATTTCAGTTTGACTTTGTTGTGATGTCCTGGCACAGACTAACGGAGATTCGCGCCACTTCTTACTGTTTTGTTGTCTCCTAAACGGATCGTGACTGCGATAAACCTCTGTAATTTATGTTAATTTACTAGAATAAATGCGAGATATAAAACGAAAACCCACCACTGATACCACGTGATTCAGACTGTTCAGAAACTACTCGAGGACAGAAAATATATAGGATATAGTTCTATCTGTGATATATTTTAATAATATTTTTAATAATATTACTTCACTTTTACCAATGGCCACGTCATCCAAAAAATGGAAAGCATCTTATGACAGCAATCGCAAGTATAATAGTAATTGGGAGAAAACATACGCATAGCTCAAAAGATCTTCAGACGGATCAGAGGCAGCATATTGTAAATTGTGTCAGTGCACTGTTGCACCAAGAATTAGTAGCATTTCAAATCATGAAAAATCCGAAAAACACAGGATGAAAACTCCGTCAAAAAGCCAGTCACAGCTTATTATAACAATAACTCCTAGACAATGTAATGATAAAGTTAAAGCAGCAGAGTTGCAACTTGCTGTAAGCATGACCTGCCATTGTGCAATACGCACAATTGATCATCTAAGTGAAATCATGAGAGCGCATGGTCAGGGAAGTACATTGGAGCACATACAGTTGCATAGAACTAAATGTTCATGCTTAATAAAAAATATTATATCGCCTGCACTTAAGGATGACCTTATAGAGGATTTTCGGAACAAGAAATATGCCATCATTATAGATGAGTCTACTGACGTTTCCACTCAAAAGCACTTGTGCATTATTGTTCGTTTTTTCAGTGACAGGAAAAATGAAATATTTACTGGATTTCTTGCTTTAATTTCCTTGCAAGTGGCTACAGGAGAAAACATATTTAATTTGATTGATGCGGAAATCAAAAGGTGTGGTCAGAGTCTTACAAATTGCATTGGTTTTGCCTCAGATGGCGCTTCAAACATGATCGGGTGGAAGAACTCGGTATGGTCCAGAATTAAAGATGTGTCTCCTTTTTGTGTACAGCTCAGATGTATCTGCCATTCATTATCACTCTGCATTTGTAGTGCAATTGCCAAGCTACCATTCAATATTGGTTTTCTACTGTCAGAAATACCTCAGTGGTTTCGTCATAGTGATTTAAGACGAGAAGCCTATAAAGAACTGTTTAGAGTGATGAACACATCTACAGAGTTTGAATCAGAACGAACTGCTCCTCTTCCATTTGAGAAACTGTCATCTACTAGGTGGCTTGTGCGTGGAAAGATTATGTTCAATATGTTAGTGAACTGGGAAGAATTGAAAGCCTATTTCACATGTGCTGAATTAGCACAGACATAAAATATAAAGTAAGATTGTTAAAGGAAATGCTGTTAGACCACAATAATTATTTGTACTTTGTGTTTGCGACACCAATTGTACAAGAATTTGAAAGACTGAACAGTCTTTTTCAACAAACAAAAGCTGATCCTCATGAACTACACCAAGAATTATCCATGCACCAGAAAAGTCTTAAAAACAGACTGTATGACGTCAATGAGCAGAAAAAAAATATTCATCACGTTGACTTTGGTATTAAATTCCTAACGGAATGTAATGCGTTTCTACAGAAGAATAACGGGACTGAAGCTCAGATAGAAATAAACAATGTTTAAGAAAGATGTATGTGTGTGCTAGAGGAAGCTCTCAGTCAAATTACGTGTAGACTTCCCACAGAGAATGTATTTCAAAATCTGTCAAAATTGAGCCCTTTGGCAGTTTTAAATCAAGTATCAAGGACACAGTTTTCAGAGCTACCATTTCTACACCTGGCAGAAAACAACATCAGTATTATAGAAGAACAGTACAGAAAACTGATTGTTGTCAACTGGAAAGAAGAAGCTACTTTTAAGAAGGATTGACTACCTACAAACTGAAGATTTTTGGATAGGCGTACTTCTACACCAGGCATTTAAAGAGTTGGCCACTTTCGCCCTTACTTGCTTAATAATGCCCGTTAGCAATGCTGTAGTTGAAAGAATATTCTCTCTTGTAACTTCAACTAAATCAAAAGCAAGAAACAAAATACAACTGGATTTTCTTGATGCAGTTGTTAGAATTAGAGCAGAACTATTGATATCAAAGAAATGTTGCAAAGACTTCATACCATCTGAGAAAATGCTTAAAGATTTTACATCCGAAAAGGTTTATGCTGCATCTTCCACTGGTTCCAGTGAGGAGGACAGTGAAGAATTCAATCTAGAGCTTTTGATGTGAAGTAAGTACAATGTTACAATATTTGGCAATTTTCTGGCATATTTTGGGTAATGGTTTGGCATAAAATTCAGTTTTTCATCTGGCAACCCTGGCAAAAGTGCAGTCGGCTTCTTCTAGTCTTAGCGGTTGGCTCGCTGGGTTTATAGTTAGGCCCCTTTATGTCCACACACACACACACACACACACACAAAACCATCACATTTTAGTCATACCATATATAGTCGACGTTTAAGATGTGTTAGTTTGATGGCAGATGGTTTATTGGGCCACCGGAAACCGCACATGGAACCAAAGTGACTAACAATACTGGCTGATCACAAGGACACTGATCCCGCTTCTCCTTCTTATTTCGTTCGCTTGGAATAGATTATCTACATCTATAATTTTGTCTGTAGTAGAACTTTATTCACTGTTGTAATTCTCTCAGCTACCCCTAAAGTGTGGCTTGCACCGGTGTTTCTCTTGGTCAACAGTTTTGCCTTGATATGTTGTATTTGGAATACACTGTTCCAATGTGGGTTCACTGGTTGCAAACTATGCATCTTCCCAGTGGTTACATACGGATGTGAGTCGTAAACTATTTCTCAGTCCTAAAGAATGAGAATAGGGGCTTTTGAGCTGAAATGCTATAGAAAGATTCTCAGAATATCTTGGACAAAGAAGAGGAGAAATAATGACATCTTAAAAGATCTGAACATCAAGGAAGATTAATAAACAGCATCCTTTCTCGGAAGCTGAAATATTTTGGTCATATCAAGCGCCACAACGGATTGGAAAAAATTATAGCAGAATGCATGGTACCAGGAAGGAGGGGCAGGGGCCGACCGACATGAAGAGGGACACAGGATATCAGTGATTCCTTGAGTATGAAAGTAAATGAGGCGAGAGAACTGGCGAGAGATCGAGTTTCTTCCAGGCAGACTGCGATGAGAGCGACGTTCTGCAAAGGACCTGCTACATAATGATGATGGTTGCAAACTCCAGCGGAAATTTATGGTTATTCTTCCATCTCTGGGCTTTAGTGTTGTTTCAAAGCACGAGCTCTGCGTGCACATCCATTTTACAGAGCCGGTTTATTTGTATGCAGACACCTTGTTCTTTACCTCGCAAGCAGATGGACTCCTATTTACAAGGAAACGGCGTTTCTTTAGTTGACCTTTTCGACATCCTATTTTTGTTAAAAAAAAAGGGGGGGGGTAGGGTGGTGAAAAAAAAGGGAGAGGGGAATCATTGGTTCTTTTCTTTTTTCCTCCACAATGGGACCCTGGAACTATCTCTGTATATCTCACATATAAAGGACGGAACACTTGTATGTATGTTCGCAATGTATGTTAAATGTTTTTAATTAGCGATTGTGAATATTCTATAAACTAACTAAAACCGTCAAAGTAAAGAACATATGGCGGAAGTGGCCAGGTGAGTTGCTGGAGTTGGCAGGTAAAACAAAGAAACATGCAAAGACCAGGTGATCTGCGAAGTTATAAGAACCGCCTGACGTAATCTTTGGCTTATTGTCAAGCAGCCTCAGTCTGATCTCCCAGTCACGTGCATTCTCATGGGTGAGTATATATAAACTTTTACATAAGGAACTTGGCTTAAATTCTTTTACTCTTTCTTTTTTCCCCTCAACGGAGACTGGCTCCGAATTTGTTTGATTCGAACTACAGGTAAGAGAAAACACTGCATTGGTTTAGCTAACAGTTTTAACTGCATGTAATTTAACACGCTTAATTATAGTGACAGTTAAAATGCAAGTTACCGAATAACAGCGTAAATTACAGACAACCTTGTGGATACGGGCAATTTTACTGTGTTAAATTCCATTCATCCTGATCAGCTTGTCCTAAGCAGAAAAAATATCATTATGACAGAAAATCAATGTTTTATATTAGCAATGAAGTAGGTGCATTTTCCAGTAGGGTTAATTTAGCTATATGGGGTTTTTTTTCCGCCCTATCATTTATACCCACTTTTCTCTATATTCTGGAACCACTGTGTTTGTAAACAAAACGCACGTGAAATGGCTGTTTGCTATTTTGAGCCGCTTGCGCTGTGAAGGTTAAAGGTCACGGTGCTAGTCCCGAAGTTTCTTGGTTTCTCCTCGCTTTTGCACGCGCGCAGTGCCTGGTATCTGTGAGTATGCAGGCGTCAGGTAAGATTGTGCGCATTTGGCAGCCACTGAGCATTTTGCACACGGTACAGTACTAATGCACGCCCTTTTCTCCTTGATTCCAAGGACCTTATGTTACCCTCGTCGGTGACGTCATTCCACCGCCAAGTGAACAGCGAACGCCGTTTCGGAATGTCTTCGCCTTCAGGTTGTGGTGGCAGCTCTGTCCCCGTGGCAGCGGTGGCAGGGGTACGAGCATCGTCCCCTTCTTCAACAGCGTCGACCACACCTGCATCTACAGGTCTGTCTTTTTCGCCGGATCTTCAGGCTCAGAGAACAGTTCTGGAGCACCTGTTCGACAGAAAATTAGTAGAAGGCGACTTCTGGTACGTGATTGTGGCAGAATGGCTCGAACAGCTGAAGAAGTTCATAGGAATCAACAGCTCTAGAAAGTATTACGGTCAACGTGCCTCGTCACCGCCTGGACCTATTGTCACAAGAAGGGATTATGCTCACACAGTGGACGTGGTGCATGAAGACGCTTGGCGTATGCTAGTGCAGTGGTACGGTCTCGCAGACGGACACAAGGCTATGAAGCTAGTGGTATACAAGTACGCACGTGGCCCAGAAATAGAGCACAACATAAACTCGTTTAAAATCATGCTGAGCAACTCCCCACCAGAGGACTTTCACATCGTTCGATTCAGCAAACTGGAGAAAGTTGGCTACGTGGAACATAAGGCCAGACAACTGTATTCTATACCTGCCAGCCAAGAGTCGCGACTGTGGGCTAAAGCTGAGGCTGATGCCGAATGGAGGCCACTGTTCTATCGTGACAAACCCATCGGGGTCGTGCTGGATATGGACTCTGACTTTACTAGACCGGTGGTGGCTTTAGAAATAACGGACGCAGAAGGAAGCTGGGTCGGGGCTCCAGAGCTGATTGAGCCACCAGCAGACAGTAAAGTTCACGGGTACCTGGTGGAGAACAGCATGTTTGACGATGTGACCACCCCCTGGGAGTTGGATATACACGAGCAGATTGACCAGATTGGCAAGACGCTTCTGGAAAAGCTCCATGGAAACTTCAACGTATTTGTGCAGGTAAGTTGTGTGCATGCAGCCTTCTTCGGTTGTAATCAGTCGGAAAATATTGCTTATTGTTGTCATTGTTATTTTTCGAGGGCCATGTTAGCGTTTTAATTAATAGATTTACTTGCCAGCCATGTGGAAATGGAATTAAATCTCATTCGATTTTAAGTTACACGCGCTCTCTAGTTGACCTAGCATGAAATGGTTACAATAGAATGTTCTACGAAGTAGGGCGGCCTGTAAGATTTAAAGTATTTTTATGGAACAGCTCTCACTCTAGTTAAAAACGAGAAAAAGAGGACTGAAGCGTTAGGTTGAAACAATACTGCTGTATGGCTGTGAACTTTGGAGTGTGAATGAACAATTGAAGAAGAATTTTGAGATATGGACAGCCAACGTGACTAACAGCCAAAACCTGGAAATGGCTATTGAAATGTCTTAGTTTATGTGACGAGAAGAGAGGCATTGTTGTCTTAGTTCATGTGATGAGAAGAGAGGAATTGGAAAACATAGCTGTGATTGCAAAATTCAATCTATAGAAGAGACAGAAGTAGACCAAGAAGAATGATGCTTCGTGGCCTGAAGCAATGGAATGAAGAAATATCATCAGTGGAACTGATTCAGGATACTAAGGACCAAAATATGAGGAAAGAAATGAGCGCCTAAGCTGCCTGGTAGGACCCATGCCACGCACACACGAGCGCGCACACACACGCACACACACACATCATGTGTTCTTTCAATTATTTATTATAGTAGCTTTTTGGTGATGTACAATATTCTTTGCAAAGGTCACTTAGCTTGTACCTCTATTTCTATTCGGTATGCAGATTCTGTATGTGCAATTTACAACGTTTGATTGTTTTCTTTAATTCTCAAACACAAGCACAGGAATATGATCACTAAAAGAGCACACTGTTCCACACAATATTCTTACAAAAGCTATGCTATCAGTGTCAAACATGTACACTTGTCTTCAGAAACCCGAAGGAAAATATTTACGACAGAAATGAAATGTTTACTTATTATGCTAGGTGTAACAAGGAAAGATCGACTTAGAAATGATCAAGAGGAGAGTCGGCAAAGAACCAGTGCCTAACATTATCGGTAGACAACACAACAGATGCAATGTTTTGGCCATGTAGCAAGACTGGCACTAGACAGGGCACCACAGAGAGCTTTATAATTGTTATTTTATATATATTCTTATTACATACTTAAACAAGGCATACGCCCCTCTATTGCCCTCAATAAAATGTGGAAAGGAAATGGGAGTATCTCTCCAATTCACCCCCCCCCCCAACCCACCACCACCAATTTTCTGCCCCTGTAAGTAAGTAAAGGACATTTTTCAATGTCTGGAGATGTTATAACTATATGGCAAGTTTAAAAAAAAAAAAGGGCGGGGGGGGGGGCTGGGGAGGGAGGCATTTTAACCCTATGAGGTGTACTGGTTAAACTCCCATGACGCCAGCCACAAATATTTTAAGATCAGTTGGCTCTAGATATCTGAGAAATTCCAGTAAATTCCCCGTTTTGTTTAGCTTTTTAGTCACATTTCACTGGAATTCCTTGGTATTAACTTGACTGCAGTCACCCCCACAATTTCACCACTTCTCGATATCTCAGTATGGTAAACATCCCGCCTGTCGACTCTACGTCCCACAATATGTCTTGGTACCCGGGTTTCCCATGGCTCGATCTAGAAGCCCAGATATGTAGAAACAAATCTTCTCGGAGTACATTCAATCTCCTAACCACTGCATCAGTTGACAAATGTTATAGCCCTTGCCATATTGCTGCTTCCCGGATATATAGTGCCTCTTTTTCTTAGAGTTCACGTCGTGTGGCGTTGGTAGTCATGTCTATTCACAACCTTCTGTCTCGTGTACTTTCAACCAGTTCTGACACAAATGATCTTCAATGTCATAATGTCAAACTGTCCATCTTCTCTCCTGATATCTTCTGTCTCTTTTCCGTGACAATTTTCTGATCATCTCGGTGTAGTTTTCCCTTACTACTTTCCTAACATCGCGATGTACTCCACTTTCCTTAACAATTTTCTTGTCTTTGCGATATACCCCACTTGTCCCCATTTCACCAACTAACCAAAGAATGTAGATTTTACTTTTTTGATGTGGGCAGTCGGTTCTCTTCGTGAGTCAGTTTCTTTCCAGATACACGTATCTTCATTACTCTTTTCCCCCCTGCCTATCTATTGTTACCATCCGTCAATAAAACCATATCTCTGCCCCTTCCAAATGAAGTTTCACTATCGCCCAGTTGTCCACGATTCACCTCCGTAAATCAGGATAGGATATAGTGCTAGCTCCAAATTTGATTATTAGACTCTACATTCGATAGACGATCTTTTAAGTATCTTACCTGCTATCAACTGCTGCTATATATCAAGAAAGAACATTCTTGTTCACTAACAAATTAGTCCTTTTTTGCCTTGAAAACTGTTATTGATTACACATTTTATATATTTTTGGCAGCATTTCAACAGTTTAAACATATTTTTGGCTATAAAAATAATATTGTGATGGGGTTGGGGGGGGGGGGGGGGGTGATTGCGGGGGAAAAAGGGGGGGGGGGAGGGAGCGTGTTAATCTTCCTGATTTTTGATTTAATTAATTTATATTAATGCTTTTTTCTACTAGCTGTTGTCAATATCTTTTGCTTTGCTTCATTGTGTTTGTATTTTGAAGCTACCAACACAATCAGATTTCAAGACCATCTTGACTGGAATTCACAAAGAATAAAAGATACAATTTCTATCAAACTTATTAATTTTTATAAAGAGTGGCAAAGCTTTAAAAAATTAGTCATTTGTCAAATTTAATGGGTTTAGACAAATAATTTTTAAAGTTTGTCACAAATATAATTAGTGTGTATTAACGGTACAATTTTGATTTTCACGTGCAACCACAGATAAAGTTGTAATTGTTAAGCTATCCACAGAATTGCTTTACCACTGATGTTAACAGTAAGCTAAATGACGTTATCTCATTTCAAATGTTATGCTTTTTTAATTTTATAACACTTCTTTTGCGCAATCTTCATGTTTCAAATTTCAATTCATATCGTACTGCATAATGATGTTATACATGTTTTCGACACAAACTTGAAGTTTCGGAGAATTAAAGAGATGATATGATAGACTGCAGTATTCCTTAGAATAATCTTGTAGGTTTTGGCAACCTAAATTGTTATATTTGATGAGGCTGAGCTATTTTACGCTAAAGAATCGATATTTTAGAGGTGCAAAAATCACATTAATAAAAAACTAGTATCTCAAATAATCAAAGACCACATGGACAGAGAACTGACATTTCACAAAGCTAAAATTCACATTGACAGGTCACAGAATACCATTAAATATCAGTCGAAACGGGAATAAAACTTATCATGAAGGAATAATTGAGCTGGGGCTAGAAAACCTTCATCAGCTTATTACATAAACAGAAAATATTGCGATTGCAAGCAAGAATACACACAATTCAGTGAGACGAGTAAAGAAGAAGAAGATAAAACAAAATCATTTATCTGCATGTAAGCTGAGATTTGTCACAGAAATATTTCAAACTCATCGCAACAGTAGAAACATCGATTCACGAGTGTGATATTTCACGGAGTTAAGTTCACACTGAAAGAAAGCAACATTATTTTTCTTCTTTTACCTTAGAGCACATCGGCTGTAAACTCCAGCGAAAAGCTCTGATTGTTCTATACTCCTGGATTTTTTTATCTTGAACCAGAACTTGAGTTTTGCGTGCACATCGGTTTTTTTTTTTTTTTCAAATCTAGCTTATTTTTGTGCAAACTTGTTGGTTCCCTGCCTTTCAGGAATTTAAAGAAACCAAAGATCCTCCAGTTAAAGAAAGTATATCTATATGACTAAATATCACACTGATAAAGAGTTTATATTTCAGAGAGCCAAAGATCACATTGATGCACGCGAGTGTCACCTGAGAGAGCGAGAACGCCAGGTGTGTGCCCGTGAGTCAGTGACAGAAAGGTTAAGTACTCGCCTTGAACTGAAGGAACTTCGGCTCAGTGAAGAGATGATGAAATGTGAAGAGAAAATCAAGGTAGGCGGTTTTTGTTGTGTTGTTGTTGCTTTCTAAAGCTTCCATATCGTTGTTAAAACGATCGTTACCATTGTTATTACCATTACAGTCATCATCACCTAAAACAACATTATCATTATTATTATCGTCGTCGTCATCATCTTGAATAGGTTAAATAGGCTCATGTGATCATAATCGTTTAAAAAAATTAAATGTCTCATACATTGTATATAAACACACGAACACACACACACACACGCTCGCGCACGCGCAGGGCGCACACACACACAAGCACGCTAAAATATACACACATAGTCGTGTAATGCTGCAGATTTTTCATTGTTATTTCATAACTGAATTTATCAGAAGTCCCACGCGATCACAGACATACGCAAACAAGCAAGCACATTCTATGCTCATTCAAATTGCTCTGTTATACAGTTACACAATGGCTCACGTTTTCTATTCACCCACTGCCAATCACGTGCACATATGTATTCACACACACACACACACACACACACACACAATACTCTCACATAATTAAAGCTACCCCCCCCCCCCCCCGCGCCTGTCGTTGGGGGCCTTAATATAACCTCACGCTTGAGCACGGTTTCTGGCACTTGTGCCCGTCAAATTATCTTCACAATTACGGATTTTAAAAATATACATAGGAAACGTAGCCGGAGCTACAGGGCACGTGCTCTGCGCTTGACACATTATTCAGCGGTTAGTGAATAGGCAGTGAAGAGGAGACGACGAGGGAATGGGGAGAGAAGAAGACAGAAAAAGGAGGGCAGGTGCTAGAAGAACAAGACGAGAAGCGGCTCGTTGCTCAGATGAAAGGCAAGACGGACGTTTAATCAGAATGCTACTGGCACCTTTAGTATCGGAACTCTTCGCTGGCTGCTGAAAATGGGGACGGAGCGCTTATGGGAATGCCTCGAGTGCTGTGATGTCGGTTCTTGAATCAAATCAAATCAAATCTTCCCAATTGTTGCACTTCGTGTCACCGGGTGTTTATCGCTCGACGTGCGGTTCTGGTGGCGTTGAAGATCAATCAGTCAGTTACACACACACACACACACAAATTTACAATCTTGATCTAGAAGCTCTATCGGCTGGATATTGAGTGCCGGTGGCACGGACGGACGGACACACACACACACACACACACACACACACACACACACACACACACTCAACACGCTCACACATCCCATCTACATCCGAAAGTTGTCTGTCTGTAGGAGTAGGAAAACCGATGGTACAACTTTCCACATCCATCACACGCAAACACTCGCACTCACACACAAACACACAAACACTACCTAGATCTACCTAGATCTCAGGGGTGCTGAGTGGTCCCGGGGCATGTCGTCCGCCTCGAGACTGGAGGTCCCGGGTTCAGGCCGCGGTGAAGGCTGTGACTTTTTCACGTGGACTTCAAGTAAATTCCCCTGGTCTCTGTGTAGTAAGATCGGACGCCCGTGTGTACTGCTGCGCAAGTAAAATAATGAAAAGAGTAGCACAACGGCGCTGCCAGGGCAAAATTTGGAGTTACAAATCTACCCGAAGTATTTCAGGATCTTCGTCTGTGCTACGGAATTTGTGCGCTGCGCTGAGATTCTTCGGAGTCTTCGGCTTGAGTTAGAAGTAGAACGGAGCACTTATGAGTTCCTACAGTAAAACTACCTAGATCTACGAAGGCTTTATCTAAAGGACCAGGAGAACCGACGACACAACTTTCCAAATACATCTCACACGCAGACACACACACACACACACACACACACACTTACTATCTAGGTCAATAAATGCTTTATCTACAGAAGTATGAGAACTGAATACCCCCACCCCCCCCCCCCCAACCACCCAAAAAAGCACACACACACACACATATATAGACACACACACACTCTCTCTCACTACTAGATCTACGAATGCTCTATCTACATGAGTAGGAGAACGCGACGACACAACAGCCACCCCCCCCCTTTCCCACTCCCTTTCCCAGTCACACACACACACACTCTCTCTCTCTCTCTCTCTCTCTCTCTCTCTCTCTCTCTCTCTCTCTCTCTCTCTCACTACCTAGAGCACGTCCGACTCTATTTATAAATAGCTAGTCGGATGTGTCTAGATCTACGAATGCTCTATCTACATGAGTAAGAGAACGCGACGACACAACAGCCACCCCCCCCCCCCCAACCCCCTTTCCCAGTCACACACACACACACACACACTCTCTCTCTCTCTCTCTCTCTCTCTCTCTCTCACTACCTAGTGAACGTCTGACTCTATTTATAAATAGCTAGTCGGACGTGTCTAGATCTACGAATGCTCTATCTACAGGAGTACGAGAGCCGACGTCTAGAGCTAGAGCGAGAGATTGCTGACCGGCAAGAAGAAATGCAGAAGATGCTGTCGGAGAAGGAAGCGCTCCTGACTGCTGACAAGGCAGATTTTGAGGCAGAGAAAGAAAGATTTCGTGAAGAATTGCAGGTAAAATAAAGAAAACACAGATTTAAAAAAAAATAATTATTATTCTGTCTCCACCTGTTTGGGTTACAGGAGGTCGTTTGTCGATTCCTGGGTCCCGTTTTGGGTGAATAAACCCATTACCTTAAGGGTTTCCTGAAATCGGATGTATTTTGCTGAAAGTCGCAGATATCCAATATACAACCCAACGTAGAGGAAGAGAAAAAGAACGAACGAACGAACTATCTTTATATCCAAAGGGATACAAATTGGGCACGGATGCCCATCTTACATTCGATCCTTTCAAGCACTCATCTCTCATAATACGGCAGTTTTGTTTTATATATCAAGCATGTTATGTTCATATATCAAAATACATAGTATGAATATTAAGTAAAAATACAAAAGCGTGGATAGTAAATATACACCTTCAAATGGTTAGTTGCGTATACTTTACAGGACGTTACAGAACCAACCCCAACAGCCCCTGGCTGTTGAGTGGTTTATCTAGGCAAATTTACGTTCCAGTAGTTTACCATTGCTTTCTGGAGGGTCGGCCATCAATGACCATCAATGTATCTTGTCTACAGCACATGAGTGAGCTAAGCAAAGTTCAAGAAAGTCGCATTAAACTGGACATCGGAGGAAATCAGTTCACCACATCTGTGCTGACGCTAACCAAAGATCCAAACTCTATGCTGGCAGCAATGTTCAGGTGAGAGCTTTGCTACAGCTGTCATCACTTTATACAGTCACCTTCCACAATATTTTCACACATCAAAAAAAGAAACATAATGTAAAAATGGTTGTATTAAACTATGCATCCATATTCCTTGTGCAGATTGTGTGGTACAATGTGTGTGTGTGTGTGTGTGTGTGTGTGTGTGTGTGTGTGTGGTGTGTGGTGTGTGTGTGGTGTGTGCGTGTGTGTGGTGGGGGGGGGGAGAAAAAGGGGGCGGGGGGTTGATAAGCCAACAATACCTTAACAAGCACGCCGTAACAAGCAATTAATTGTTTTCTTCTTCTTTCCTTCGTCTGAAACATCATCATCATCATCATGTAGCAGGTCATTTGCAGAACGTCGCTCTCATCACAGTCTGCTTGTAAGAAACTCGGTCTCTTGCCAGTTCTCCAGCCTCATGAACTTTCACTCTCAAGGAGTCACTTATATCCTGTGCCCATCTTCGTGTCGGTCGGCCCCTGCCCCTCTGTCCTGGTACCATGCCTTCTGCTATTATTTTTTCCAATCCGTCGTGGCGCTTGATATGACCAAAATATTTCAGCTTTCGAGAAAGGAAGCTGTTTATTAGCCAATCTTGTTTGATGTTAAGATCTTTTAAAATGTCAATATTTCTCATCTTCTGTGTCCAAGATATTCTGAGAATCTTTCTATAGCATTTCAGCTCAAAAGCCCCTATTCTCTTTCTTAAGGACTGAGAGACAGTCCACGACTCACATCCGCATGTAGCCACAGGGAAGATGCATGCTCTCAAAATTCTAATTTTTATCTCCTTGCTGGTGCTTAACCATAGACTTTTAAGGCTGTTCAATCTTTGCATTGCTATGGCCATCCTCCTTTTAATTTCTGTCGAACAGTCTCCATTGTTGTTTATTATAGAGCCCAGATATTCAAAGTTTGTGACATTTTCAATTTCTTCATCATTTATTGTTATTTTTGGGTGACAGCCAGTTTTATCTGTGGACATTATTTTCGTTTTCTTTAAATTCAAAAACAGATTTTGATCTTCACTGTGCTTTTGGACGGACAATATTAAATTTTCTATTCCCTTCACGCTGTTCGAAAGGAGGACTGTGTCATCTGCGTAGCGGAGCTCTGAAATAGGGTTGCCATCAATTTTGAGCGGATCATAACTGTCACAAGTCTGGTCATTTTTGACATTTCTCATTATATTTTCTGCGTATATATTGAATAGGTATGGTGAGAGAATGCACCCCTGCCTCACCCCCTTTTGCACCTCGAACCAATCAGATGTTTCATCAGCTGCTCTGATGGCTGAAACAAGTTGTCTAAATCAGCAATGTCGTCTTTAGTTCATTTAGTGGCTTGTAGAGTTTACTTTCCACAGTTGTTGCCCTAATACAAGTGTGTTTGCTTAAATCGGATGTGTTTGGCTGGAAGGCACAATGTACCAGCCACCATTTCAAAGTGTCAACGCTAAAGATAACCACTAAGGCGTCACACAAATCATTATTGGATTGATTTTTTTTCTCCGGAGGAACACCGTAGCAATTGTGTGAGTAACGTGAATAAAGACATAATTTCAGAAAGCACACTACACATTGCCTAAAATTGTAAAAGTACATAGATGACGTCTGTTAAAATGTGCACAAGTTTTGACGGGCTCTGCATACGATATAATAGTATGAGTCTTTTAAGGGAAGCGCCCTTTCAATCATTATATACAGCATTGTATATTGTAAGAATACAAATATAATAGTTATAAAATAACTTGCTAGATGACCTGTAAATAAAAGGTGAAACGACAGAATACTAATTTTAATAAAAAAACATGGTTTTCTTGTGACTGTCGCTTTCATGGCATACGAATATCTGCTGCATATCAAGCCTCCTTGCATTTATCACTCAGAGTCAGAGCCCCGTGCATAGGCTCGTATGCACAGTAATTTGTGCTAATGAACAAACATGTTCTTTTATTTTTAGGTCTTCTAATTTTTTTTTTTTTTAAATATGCCTAAGGTAGCTATCAAAACGACCTTCACCTTTCACTCTCTGACTTAGCATAACGGCACACGGGTCTTTAAAATGTTGGCTCTTGTCCGAGCTGGCTTCGCATTCGATGCAACATCCTTGCTCACTGGGCAATAGCTCCTCTTTCTTTTTGTGTAAAAACCTAGACAGACCGCGCCGTAGAGCAAACAAGAGGGTTAATCTAGACACAGGCGAACGTGCTAACATGAAACACGTCCGACTTTAGCTATTATAAATAGAGTGAGACGTGCATGAAATAACCGTGATACGTATAATCCCGGATAAAGGCCACGCTAGATTCCAGCAAGACGGCAATGACTGAATGGCCTGCCGCCCCCTTTCCCCTCACCATCCTCTACCTCTTTTGGATGCACTATTAGTTCAATCCTCCACCCCATTCCCGCAGAGAGCACTTGAGTTCGGTACCCAACATGCCACATCAATTCTCATCGCCGAACATTTGGATCTCAGAGCGTGAGCTAAATGTTCCGGGTATATTTACGTACACCGGAGCCTAGCTGCCAACCCAAAACGACACAACCAGATCACACACTAACAAATGACGAATAGAACCGCTTTGAGGCTGGATCTAACATTTCATACACATTTCCACGACCTGACTAACCCGCTCTTATTGCAGGAAGACAACTATAAGACCACTATGGTCACACGCGGAATATTTTCACATTTCGGAACTATCCAAAATCAAAAACAGTTTTCAGTACTTTTTGGCAAAGTAAAATACTCAAAATTTTTAAACTATAAATGATGGTCCAAAGGACGTTGTGTAGAAAAGCTCGCTCTCCTAAGAAATACGCCTGGCCAAATCAGAGGGAGATTAAACCAAGAGGACGAGCGGTCTGACTCGAAAGGAAGCATTAAACCCAGAAACGGCGCAAATAATAGAATTTAGTCACGAAAGTGACGCAAATAACCCAGACCACAAATATAGGCGGAGATTGTTAGCAGAGGCGGCTAGCTAGCAGCAGTCTGAAAGTGGTCGAACTTTTAATTTTTTTCTCAAAAGGAATCGGAATCGGAATGAAATTACCGGCCTCTGGATTTCATCTGAGAACGGTAACAATGTTCATGGGATTTTCTATAAACACTATTGTGTAAATAAAACATGAGAGTCTACGTGCAGGACCGTCGGCACTACCGATGATCCTGCTCAGTGAGACAATGGTTAGACCATTGTAGTAAAATGTTTCTGGTTCGAATCGGACTCCAATTTTCAGGAAACTCCGAATTTTCAAGAAACTCCTACGTTCGGGAAAGTGATCAAAAGAAAAGTAGAGGGACAGATTTATATGAAGTTATCAAAAATGAAGACACAGCTGGCGTAATTGACCAGTAAATATTTGACGCAGAAACCAGATCAATTCTCTTCTGAACCTCGATCCTGTTAAACAATACAGGAAAAAAATTAAGAACGTTGTTTGTGTACATGACTGTGAAAAATAAATTATCCATAATGTCTCCTAGCTGCTTCAAACTTTGATCAGTTTGATAATGAGGTCCTAAAGTGTAGACACACATGGGAAAGTTGCAAATAATGAAGGCTAGATTTAACGACATCACCGATTAGCGACGATTCCTTTCTTGGTCTGGAAAGTCTTTTCACTGACTGATGTCTACTTCACTTTCGAGTCAGTTTGCTGGCTTTCCTTGGTTTGACTGAAGTTGGTTCCTGCGTATGTTTATCCACCCTTTTGCGACTTGTGACTACTTCGCTGATAATCAAGATGTTGAGAATAAATAAAATAGAAAATGGGATATATGCATAGATGATACCATCAAGCAAGAAAAATATCGGATTAACTATATCTCGTTTGAAAGCGACCACGCAGTATTGAATTACTGTAAAATTGGTATCCGTGTCAAGGACAACTCGGTTTCCTAGAATGAAAAACACCGGAGAACTAAAAAGCACGGATAAGGTAGCAATCGCTAGAATGACACAGCATGTGTTTTTCGGTAGACATAATGAGCGAACTTTGTGAGGCCAAATAATACCGATGACTCTTTCTGTTGTCACTGCTATTAAAGTCCAGCTGCTTGAGTACAGGAAGAAGTTCGACAGCCAATAATTTAAATGACAAGACAACAGGCTGTTAGCCTTGATATCCTTATCTTGGGCTAACCATAAGTAGGACCTAGGCAACCCTGTCAAAATAGCCCCGAGGTCCATCAGATGAGAAAAGGAAGATAAATCGACGAAGACGTGCCTTTGAAAGCTTTCATGCTTAATATGCAGATGGACAATGGATTGAGTACACATCCGGTTACAATTAACACTAGAGTATACGCCTGAAACAGGGAATGTACTGCATTGATTAAACTGTCAGTGCTTGTGTCATTACTGATCGTGTTTGCAGTTTTGCCAGAATTTAGAATCATCACCGCTGGGTCAGTTTTGTTCAAACTGTCGCTATTGCTTGTCCCAGTGATCATTGGAGTTTTCAGCTTCAGCTTTACTACTCCGCCGCTTTAAACAAAAAATCTGGCTTATTCAAATGTTATCTCAGCACTTATACCAAAGTCATTTGTTTTTATATTTGTTTAAATGAATACTGAATATATATGTACCTCCTTGGCTGTACAAATGTTAATTGTCTCTTTACACTTCTTTATCTCTGTAGTTATATAAATGTAAGTTACCTATTTACGATTATGTATTTTAGTATTAATAAAACTTGTCAATTTACCCTTGTGCAGCTAAGTGTTTACATCACTAACTAAGTACCGACTGGTCTATAACAATAGAGGTCTAGCCCTATATTCCCAATACGTCTAAAGGCATGAAAAAGGGATCTTTACTTTTATCTTAGTGTTTAAATCACCACTTCGCTGACCGGCATGGACAAGCCATCATTCTATGAATCAGGACAGGTGATAACAGAATTAACAAGCATATGCACATACTCCGCCTTAGTAGTTCGTCACACTGCCCATGTAGGCTGTTTGTGCAAACTACAGAAGATATACTCCAATATTGTACCTTGCATAACCCATTAAGAAGGGACTATTGACCCAGTGATTCAACATCATCTGTTAATAAAAGTCAATTTAGCAACGAGAACTAGTATGTCTGTGTAAATCAGAGAGCGGTCACAAGTAGAAGAAGAAAAATTGTCTCTATCAATATTTATTGTCCACCGAAAATTGCGTCTGTGTCTTAGTGTTTATACATTGTCTGTTGTTTATTTCTGTAACTCAGTTACTGTACAAATGTTAATTCCTAATTTCTGTACAACGGTGCCATTACGAACACTAATTACCTCCTTACACTTCCATATCTGCGTGCTGTTATGTATTGCTGTCCCCAATTGGGATGCAATTTTTCGTTATTTGTAGTCCTACCTTAGCTTTTGGCGGGCCCCTAAATATAGCCTAAGGGCTGAACGGGGTTTTTGGGACCTCTCTACGTGTGATCCTCATCCGCATGGTGGAACTTTGAGTCACCGGGTGTTTATCGCCTTGTGTGATATCCTAGTGGGAAAACAGCTTACATTCACACATATCTGCAAATTTATTTATTTAAAAGGAAATGGCAGTTGTCCTTGACATGTGTGTGCCTCAATGGATTTAAAATGTTTACTGTTTATTTTTTGCAGTGGCCGCCATGAGTTGAAAACTGAAGAAGACGGCAGCTACTTTATCGACAGAGACGGGACCCACTTCCGCCATGTTCTCAACTACCTGCGAGATGGATGCGTCAAAGAGGGGACTCTGCCACAGAGCGAGACCATGTGGAGGGAATTATTGACAGAGGCAGAATTCTTCCAGCTCTCGGAATTGGCGGCCTACTTGACCGAGTTGATATCCAAAAAGGAATCAGAAAGTTGAACTCCTATTTTTCCCACCAATAATTTGTCTCTCTCTGCCAAATGCTAGATGCGATTATTACATTATAACTGCAGAAAAGGCCAACATATGGAAGTAAAGAGTAATTTTGATGTATCGCCATCAACAGTGTCTATATAGACGATGAATATGTGACATAGAATCATTATCATTCACAAAAATATGTTATCCTGTCTATGAGATCTGTAATCAACTATAAAATATCTTATCCTGTGTCACTGGTGTGCAAACGAAACTTTTAAAAAATTAACCTTTGACTTCAGCATAAACGACCACATCGCCCATCTTGTGTCGATTGGTCTATAAAAATATAGGTCTAACCCTATATGCCCTGTACGCATGAAGGCGTGGAAAAAGTACCTTTACTTTAATTTAAAAAAAAAAAGATTTCAGCATAAACAAATGTATCCATACCAGTGTCATGAACTTTATTCTATGTCCTTTACAAGCACCCCGGCAACATAAAGAGGAGTATACGTTCAGATATTTCAGGATACACGAGCTCTTCGGTAGACAACTGAGACGTACAAAATATGGTGAGCTATTGTCACTTAGGGTCACAATTAACAGTCAGAACTCTACTAGGAGACAGTGGAGACGCTGTGTTTTTTGTGAAAACACCGTTAACGAATTTTTTACTTTTCAACCAGTCTTTCAGGCGTGATATCTACCCACTTCTGCTGTTTTTGTTCCTTTTTATTTTGTTTTTATAATTTTATTTCAGAAGTCAATAATATTTATCACAATTTAAAATTTAAAACACAATTTCTCTGATTGTACTATAAACATTCAAAATCACTGCTGTGGTCTCAACTTGCCTACTGAAATGTAAATAAGCGTAAATCTTGTGTTGTCTGAGATTCTTGTACGCTCAATTCCCAAAACCTGTACTGCTGCTTACTTGTGAATCAAAAGCCGGGTTCAGCCCGAAGGCTAACAACACAAATCTCAAGCAACGGTTTTATGCGGTTGTTGTTTGCTTGGCATCTGATCGGTGGTACAAGAGCCATTGTGATGACAGGCGAGAAAATATTTGAAGTCCATTAATCGCACAACTAAGTTGTGGCATATCCGCTTTTAACCATACACTTTTTTCAAGTAATTATCATGTATGTGAATATTTCATTCACCTGTAATATATCAGATGATTCCGACTTGCGTTACACTTTAAATGTAATTAAAATAATATGACTAATTGTTTTTAAACGCGTGGTTAAAACATCACAATTCAACAATGTGGCTGTGATAATAATTTTTTTTCTACGGCTAATTGTTGTTGAAACAGTGGTAACAACTTTGTTTTTAAACAAGGAAGATATGTTAAATCTCCAATTAAGCGTTCACCTCGGTTGCTTTGATCACCCCAAGGTGTCGATTCTGAAACTGCCTTTTGTATAACAATTAAAATTGTGCTGTGAAAATGGCTTTGTGAATTAAAGAAAAATCCTTTATATCACGTCATTGTTGGCTTCATTTTGCATTAATGGTTATCAATAAATAAATCTGATGTCGGTATGAGATGTATGAATTGTACCTGTATGCGCATAACACCGGCTCGCGCGCCACACACACAAGCACATACACATTCCACACACACACGGGGATATATAAGTAGTGGTAGACAGGGAGAGACAGAGAGAGATACATGAGAAAAGCACAAAGTGAAAGACTCAAGGCGAAAGTCTATGTGGGGAGAGAGAGTGAGATATATATATATATATATATATATATATATATATATATATATATATATATATATATATATATATATATATATATATATATATATATATATATATACGTGTGTGTGTGTGTGTGAGAGAGGGAGAGAGAGAGAGAGAGAGCGAGAGAGAGAGAGAACCACAAAAGACACGGAAATCACGTCTATGCCGTCTTCTATATAAACATGGTCGATATCTATATTTTAAACCTCGTGGAAACGAAACATTAATGAAACATTATTGATGTGGATCTTCACTAGCTGTTGGGGATGGGGTTAGATCGCTCATGGATGTGTCCCTAGTGCTAACATTTCAATCTTAATTCAACATACGAATGTTGATTCATTGGAAAATGATACAGTGGATCTTGTTTCATGGTACTGGGAAAATCGTGAATCAAAAAGGTATATATTGAATGTTGAGTTAATAATCTCCCCGTGTGGGTTCCGGGACCCTATTATAGGAAAAACAAGTATAGACCCATTGCCTACCCAAAGCATGTCGTAAGAGTCGATTAATTAGGAGCTTCCTTCAAAGTCTGAGTGCATCTGCCTGAGATGCAAGGAGTCAACAGTCTGCACACAAAGAAGTCAGATCTGTCAAACGGATGCACACGCAACACTCAGGTTCTAGAACAGGACTGCAGTCCAGTAGTAGATGAACAACCAGATTTTTCCACAAGAGTTTACAGCTGGTGAACGCGAAGAAGAAGAATTAATAATCGATATGACAGCACTCGGGCGTCTATCATAAGAGCTCCGTCCCTATTTTTAGCAGCAAGCGAAGAGTTCCAATTCCGATGGCATTAGTAACAGTCTGAATGTATATCGGTCTCAAAAGAAATTGGCAAAAACAAGAAAATGTTAGCAGTAAGAAGTTAGCAGTGCAGTAAGTAGTTAGCAGTAAGTAGTTAGCAGTAAGTAGTTAGCAGTAAGTAGTTAGCAGTAAGTAGTTAGCAGTAAGTAGTTAGCAGTAAGTAGTTAGCAGTAAGTAGTTAGCAGTAAGTAGTTAGCAGTAAGTAGTTAGCAGTAAGTTGTTAGCAGTAAGTTGTTAGCAGTAAGTAGTTAGCAGTAAGTAGTTAGCAGTAAGTAGTTAGCAGTAAGTAGTCAAACTTGCCATCTTCATGAGCTGTAATTCCTGTGCATTCCTGTGACCAAACTCTCTCGTCTGGAAAAACGAAGATTTGCGCACCTACGCTCCCGTGCGCGCGCACGCATTTCTTATGCAGACAATCGGCAGAGTCGCCTTTAGGTAGCTGTTGCAACAGCGCACTGAGCACTGAATGCCCAATGTGCCGTCATGTCAATTATGATAACGTAAGATAAAATGTTAAGCTAAAGATACTAAAAACAGAAAGGAATATTTACATACACACAAACACCACACGCATACACACACACACACACACACACACACACAAACACACCACCCAAACAGGCCCATCACATCTCATCATTATGTATCAGATCTTCTGTAGAACTTTGCACGCTAGCAAGATATAAGGAATCTTGCTAACTTTCCTGGTTCGTGAGCTCTCATGCTTAGGATAACACTGATATCCTGTTTCACCATTGTGTCCGTCGGTCCTTTCTATTCTTCTCTGAACCATACCCATCATCTTTGTCTTTCCAAGCCGCATAAGTAAGGTAAAGGAAATTTTTTTCACGCCCTTAGGCGTATAGGGAATATAGGGCTAGACCTATATTTTTTAGACCAATCGGCACAATGTGAGTGATGTGGTTGTCACACACCGCTCGTGTCGCGTGCCTGATTTAAGGATTTCTCCTTAAGAACCAACAGCACTCTGAAATAAATAATGTTGAGGCGTCGGCTCGTATTGGTCTAAGGAATATCCCGTGGCCAATATACGCTCAACTTATTTCAGGAGTAGGGCAACTCAAGTTCTGGCACTACGGAACATCTAGTAATCCTAGGCACAACTTGGCTGGACACCCCCACTACTATAAAAAGATAGCTCCCAGGCTATGATAGTATACTATCACAGCCATGTTAACACAGATTACACTTACTAATCACACAAACATAAAAGCTAGACAGTTAGAAGAGTGAAACAGGGACACCCAAGTCAGCCATGAAAATTTCTAAATGGATGTAATAGTTAACACACACACACACACACACACACACACACACACATATATATATATATATATATATATATATATATATATATATATATATATTTGTATATATATATATCAAGACAATCAAGATGGTTCCCGGTGACTGGATTTCGGGAACTAACGTCGAAGAGATGATGTTGAAACAGCCAAATAAATGTCAGAAAGTTCAGTGGTCATCACCGTGCCGATGGGTAGACCTGAAAATAGAGCATGAGGAAGTCATCTCAGATGTTACTTATCCAATTTTGTAGGTCACTGCTCCCCTCAGTACTTGGTGATTTGAACAGGCTGACTCATTGGACTGCTTTTCCTCTGGTTGATCTGGTAAGCACTGACACTCTTCCTATATGAGAACAAAGGAATTGTGCTGGAGTCCAACAAAGCTTATGAAGAAGGCTTTCTTAGAGTGATGACACAGGTGGCCTTCAACAACTGTCTCTCAGCCACTGGAACTCACACACAAGCTGCTGTCATGTTGAAGTTGTGGTAACAATAGGTAGTGTTTTGGGTAGGTTTGGTAATAGGGTTGGTATGGTTGGTGGTTGGCTGGACTGTGACTCGTTTGCCTGACTTCTAGGGAGGTATCATCCTGTCAGGAAAGATCTCAGAATTAGTATTCATCTTAAGAATCACACAACAAGCTCAATTTATTTCCCTCTACCCTTCTCAGTCACTCAGAGGATAACTCTCAAGAACAGGAGACAATTTCCCCTTCATTTATCGTTAACAGTAAAAGAGATAGGAGACAAGGTACATAATGGAGATAGATAGACACTACTACACATAGATCATCCTCTCTCCACCTTCCTATCGGCACCCGCAGACATACATTCTATCCCGTTCTTACATGCATATTTCATACCTTCACAATCTGCCCACAGCACACCCAGTGTTGTTGTGCTAAAAATAACCTCTGACGTCAGAGCGCCTAGCTGGCCGACGTGTGACCCAGTTAAATATGTCTGCTAACCGACACAAACTCTGTTGGCTGGTTAGAGAATAATTCACTTGCTGGGTTTAATATCTTTATAATGGTGTGGGTCAAGTAGGGCACAACTATTAGCCTGCCAAGGGAAAGGTTTGATTTCAGGGGCTTGAGTGTCTGGGCACCAAGAAC